CTCAGCCCCCCGAGTAGCTAGGACTACAGGCACACGCCACCATGCCTGGCTAATTTTTTGTATGTTAGTGGAGACAGGGTTTCACCGTGTTGTCCAGGCTGCTCTCTTGATCTCCTGACCTCATGATCCACCCGCCTCAGCCTCCCGAAGTGCTAGGATTACAGGCGTGAGCCACCGCGCCCAGCCTAGAAGCAAATCTTTAAAGGAAAAAAGATGCAAAGAAATCACAGATTGAAATAAACACAAAATTTACTGGCATCTCTCTTGGAGACTTTCAGTGTAGCTGTGGTATGTTTCATTCATTGCCATCCTGATTTCATCTAATTCGGAAATGAGCAAATTATGGCCTATGGGCCTAATCCAGCCTCTTATCTGTTTTTATATAGCCAATGAGTAATTTTACATTTTTAAATGGTTGTGGGGGAACAGAAGAAGAAGAATATCTGAGCACATGAAAATTATATGAAATTTAAAGGTCAGTATCCATAAATAAATAAATTTTTGGAACATAGCCATTCCTGTTCATTTACTTATTGCCTATATCTGTTGTGCTACAGAGGCAGGGCTGAGTAGCTATGCTAGAGTCCATATGGCCTGAAAGCCTAAAATATTTACTGTCTGGTCCTTTACAGAAAACATTTGCTGATGGGGTGGGGGAAATAAGAGATTAATAGGTACAAGCATACAGTTAGATAGGAGGAGTAAGATCTAATGTTCAATCACAGAGTAGGGTGACTATATAGTTAACAACAATGTATTTTATATTTTAGAACAGCTAGAAGAGAGGACTTAAAATGTTCCCAACACATAGAAGTAATAAATACACAAAGTAATGAATATCCTAAATACTCTGATTTGATCATTACACATCCTATGCATGTAATAAAATATTTCATATGCCCCCATGTATAAATAATATGTATCAATAGAAAAATTTTAAATTATTTTTAAAAATCATTTTCTGACCCTTGAACTGATTCCTAGATTTTCAACTGCTCTATGAATGCTCCACCCAACCCCCTTTGTCAGATAATAAAACTGTAAACAAAGAAAAACTGAAAACAAAGAAACATGATTTGATCTTTATTTTTAAAGTTTGATTCCTGTTATGAAAAAGAAGTATACATATATGCTTACTATAGGAAAAATGTTCAACAGGAAGATATTGAAAGAGGAAAACACAATCCTGTCTCACCAACTCAACCTCTGATTGTAGTTTGCTGTATTTCCCTCCTGTGGGCTTTTTTTTTTTTTCTGTTTAATGTTTTTCAGTACAAAAGTAGTACCTCATCTTTTTTTTTTTTTTTTTAAAGACAGATTGTCGCTCTGTCACCCAGCTGGAGTGCAGTGGCACGATCTTGGCTCACTGCAACCTCCACATCCCCGGTTCAAGCAATTCTCCTGCCTCAGTCTCCCCAGTAGCTGGGACTACAGGCGCCCACTACCACGCCCAGCTAATTTTTTGTATTTTTCAGTAGAGACGGGGTTTTACCATATTGGCCAAGCTGGTCTCGAACTCCTGACCTCGTGATCCACCCACCTCGGCCTCCCAAAGGTCTGTGATTATAGGCGTGAGCCACCGCGCCCGGTCAAAAATACTGAAAGAGGAAAACACAACCCTGTCTCAGCAACTCAACCTCTGATTGTAGTTTACTGTATTTCCTTCTAGTGGGTCTTTTTTTTTTTTTTCTGTTTAATGTTTTTCAATACGAAAGTAGTGCCTCCTCATTTTTTAAAACACAGATATGAGATTTTTAAAAGTCATCCCTATTTCCAGCCCTTAAGGGAAAACTACTTAGCATTATTGAACTTTCCCTTTCGTGTTTTTCTATAAGAACAATTGTATTTTCAAAATATGAATCATCATCATATATACTTGGTTTTATGAGGGCTTCTTAATTCCTAAAACTTAATCATGTACATTTTCCATGTTTCTTTGTCTTAATATTTTATGATCATGAGTGTATATTCAAATTTTTACCATTATTTTCACTTAACATTACACAACTACGTGCTTGGGGAAAATATTCATTCTGACCAACT